TCTCTCTCTCTCTCTCTCTCTCTCTCTCTCTCTCTCTCTCTCTCTCTCTCTCTCTCTCTCTCTCTCTCTCTCTCTCTCTCTCTCTCTCTCTCTCTCTCTCTCTCTCTCTCTCTCTCTCTCTCTCTCTCTCTCTCTCTCTCTCTCTCTCTCTCTCTCTCTCTCTCTCTCTCTCTCTCTCTCTCTCTCTCTCTCTCTCTCTCTCTCTCTCTCTCTCTCTCTCTCTCTCTCTCTCTCTCTCTCTCTCTCTCTCTCTCTCTCTCTCTCTCTCTCTCTCTCTCTCTCTCTCTCTCTCTCTCTCTCTCTCTCTCTCTCTCTCTCTCTCTCTCTCTCTCTCTCTCTCTCTCTCTCTCTCTCTCTCTCTCTCTCTCTCTCTCTCTCTCTCTCTCTCTCTCTCTCTCTCTCTCTCTCTCTCTCTCTCTCTCTCTCTCTCTCTCTCTCTCTCTCTCTCTCTCTCTCTCTCTCTCTCTCTCTCTCTCTCTCTCTCTCTCTCTCTCTCTCTCTCTCTCTCTCTCTCTCTCTCTCTCTCTCTCTCTCTCTCTCTCTCTCTCTCTCTCTCTCTCTCTCTCTCTCTCTCTCTCTCTCTCTCTCTCTCTCTCTCTCTCTCTCTCTCTCTCTCTCTCTCTCTCTCTCTCTCTCTCTCTCTCTCTCTCTCTCTCTCTCTCTCTCTCTCTCTCTCTCTCTCTCTCTCTCTCTCTCTCTCTCTCTCTCTCTCTCTCTCTCTCTCTCTCTCTCTCTCTCTCTCTCTCTCTCTCTCTCTCTCTCTCTCTCTCTCTCTCTCTCTCTCTCTCTCTCTCTCTCTCTCTCTCTCTCTCTCTCTCTCTCTCTCTCTCTCTCTCTCTCTCTCTCTCTCTCTCTCTCTCTCTCTCTCTCTCTCTCTCTCTCTCTCTCTCTCTCTCTCTCTCTCTCTCTCTCTCTCTCTCTCTCTCTCTCTCTCTCTCTCTCTCTCTCTCTCTCTCTCTCTCTCTCTCTCTCTCTCTCTCTCTCTCTCTGAGGAAGGAAGAATGGGGAAGGGGGAAGGGGGGAGAGGGTGGAAGTTGAGGGAAGGAGGAAAGGAGACGGGATAGGAGGAGGAAGAAGGAAAGGGAGAGAAGAGGCGGGAAATTGGGGAAGGGGGGTGGGGCGGGGGAAGGGGGGAGAGGGTGGAAGTTGAGGGAAGGAGGAAAGGAGACGGGATAGGAGGAGGAAGAAGGAAAGGGAGAGAAGAGGCGGGAAATTGGGGAAGGGGGAAGGGGGGAGGAGGGGAAGGGGTAGGGGTAGGATTATTATGAGCATAGGAGTTAATTAGGTTATAAATATAAACACACATACACATGATTAAAAAGATCATAATCCACCAAGAAAAAAAAGAAAACTAATTTGATAAAAAAAAGATATTAATAATAATTGAACAAAAAAGAAAAGAAAAAATAAGAAATTAAAAGTAAAAAGTAGAGGTAAAAAAAAGAAAAAGAAAAGAAAAGAAAAATACCTATGACTTACCTACCATATCCATCTGCCAATCCGAACACGCGATTTCCGTCCCGAAGAACGTGCTGTTGTTGACTATGACGTCAGAGGCAAAAACGTTCGGCCACGTGAGAGACATTCCGACGGAAATGTAGCCGAAGCTCGTGGCCAAAAACATGAGGCTCTGGAAAGTTTTGAACGAACGAACCCGTTATCTTTATTTACAAAAAAAAGAAAGAAAAAGAAATAATAATGATAATTATAAATGAAAAAAAAAAAAAAATTCTTACGGTTATTTAGTGAGGAAGATCGTTTGAAAACTTTTGATTGCTTTCATTTTGACAACTTTGAGATTTAAAACTATCTGTCTATCCATCTACCTATCTATATGTGTTTGTGTGTGTATGCAGATGTTCACTTATGTGTTTGTACTTAATGAATTAATAATCTATATATATTATTTATTTATTTATCTATTTTTTACTTACCTGCTTGCCATATCGCTTTCGCCGCTCGCTCACTGTCTCCATATTTCTTATATATCTGGTCTGAAAAAAAGAACGAAATAATATATATTCATAATTCGACTATTAATGTTTCTTTTAAACTATTTCTTTGTACTTTGGAGGCCTACGTTTTATAATGGGTGCCCACTTTGTCTGTCTGACTGTGTGTCTGCCTGCCTGGTTACCTGTCTCTCTCTCTCTCTCTCTCTCTCTCTCTCTCTCTCTCTCTCTCTTTCTCTCTCTCTCTCTCTCTCTCTCTCTATATATATATATATATATATATATATATGTATATATATATATATAATGTAATATATATATAATGTATATATATACATATATATATATATATATATATATATATATATATATATATATATATATATATAGATAGATAGATAGATAGATATAGATATAGATATAGATATAGATATAGATATAGATTGATAGATATAGATATATATAAATATATACATATACTTATACTTATATATATATATATATATATATATATATATATATATATATATATATATATATATATATATATATATATATATATGTATGTATGTAGGTGTAATGCATAAAGATAAATAGTTAAATAGATTATTGAATATATTTACACACACACACACACACACACACACACACACACACACACACACACATATATGCGCCAAAACCATGCTGGTGCTCAAGATGGCCTTTAAACGAGTGATCTAATTTTAGTCAGGCGATAAGATGTTGCACAACCATATTTTTGGTTGACCGCTATCACTAAGATATTCCATAAGTGATAATGAGCTTGTTTATCAGTCAGATTACATGTAGACATTGCAAATCAAAGAGTTGTATTGACAAAACCTTATGTGAGTTGTCTTATATGTTATTTTGTTGCTCCATTTGAGGAGAAAAGCTGAATAAAATACGGAGTTCTGCTGCACAAGTATATTCTGGAGGAGTGTACAGCATTAATGTGTACATAAGGGTTACGTACGCATGCAGTTTGAAGTGAACGTTGCAAAATCTTCTGAGCTGTAATTTTTTTTCGGGAACTCCATACTCAGAAAATAAGTTCTTTAATGCTTTGATCACTGCCATGCTTGTGACATGCACAGGGATTTTTCTAATAACTGGAAACTTTGAGTAGTGGTCAGCTATAATCAGGTAGTCATTTTCTCCATAATGGAAAAGATCTGTTCCAACATACTGCCATAGTCGTGTAGGAAGTTCATGCAGGATGAGGGTTTTCTGTGTTTGTGACATTGAAGTTTATTGGCAGATGGGCACACTGCTGTCCTTGTTGATAGAAGTCCAGTATACACAGTCTTTGGCTCGAAGTTGGGATTTCGTGATGTCAAGTTTCTGTATGGATGCTGGGATTTGGTTCTGCTGCCTTTTATCACGAGACAACTTGTTTCTGAAGGACCGGTATGGCTGTAACACTGTGGATAGATTTTTCATCTTTTCGGGCCATCCTTGGGTAATGACTTCTTTCAATCCGTGTAGGGCGACTTCTCTTGAATCCTCCTGTCGAAGTTGCTCTAGTCTTCCGTTGCCGAATGTAACAAGGTTGATTTATAGTCCGGTGATGGTAAACTAAGAGTTCATTTCCTGGCTTGTATTGGACTGTAACTTCATTTTTTAGCTGAATCAGTTATTATGGTCACTCTCCACCTGGAATGCTTTGTCATATATATAAATGTGAAATCTTTCGCATCTAAACACAACTGCATGTAGTTCCCTCTTCATGTTGGCACAGCTCATGTAAAACGTATACCTTTTTTAGAAGACCTCTATGAGGTGCAGTTTCATCAACCAGGTTTGGGATAAATGGTTACATATAGGTCACCATGTTCCCAAAAATTATAACAACTCTGTACATTTGTGTAGCTCGCCAGTGTTTTAATTGCTGATACTTTGTCTGCATCTGGGTGAGAGACTTCCTAACCGTAAACAATAAGAATTTCACTTATTCCTGCTTGATCATGCACTTTGTACTGTTGAAAGTCAATCTTTGCTGTTTGGATGTCTTGAAGAGGTCATGCTTGATTTTCAAGTTGTTGACTCAACCAATTCTTTTGATGGTCGTTAGTCAGACAAGTTTTCAATTTCCCATACGCATCCAATAAATCTGGGCACATAATTCGAAATGCTCTTAGCTGAAGCAGGTTTTCTCCAGCCCATGTATCAATTCTGACTGCCATTGAGCCAATCTTATTGCTGGGGGTCCGGCTTTGATAGATCGAAGAGCTTCCCTATCATTAATGCTTGACACCTGGGCTACTCTGACAGGACTGTGAAATAATCCTCATTGGGATCATCTTGGCTAAACTGCAGAGAGTTTTGTTAGATTTCGTAGATCTATCACTGCTGAAGTTTCTTTCGTCTTAATTCTTGGCATAATGCATGGGCTTTCACCCTTGTATAGGTTTCTTCTATTTTTCTGGTAGTGACAGACACTCTATTGCCAGTGGTTCATCTTGCCGTACGCATTGCACTCAGCTGGACAGGGCTGTGGGGAGTTTTTATTGTTTTTAGTTATTGTTCTCCCACAATTAATATGTGGCTTTGAGACCGCGACATCAACATTTTTTGTCATATCTGGCTGTTTTGGCTCTCGTGTCTCTGCTATCCCTCATGGTTGTTCCATAAGGTCTGGTAATGTCAGTGACTTTGCTCACTGTTATGTCTTCGCCTTCTAAAACAAGATTTCTTTGCAAATCACTGCTCTGGATTCCACCCATTGCTCAAGTAACTTTTGGTTCGTGTTCTGCCTTAGTAAATTTGCATCGCTTAGGAACTCATCAACATATTCATCATCTCTCTGCATCAATCTTCGTAATCGGAGTCTGTCGACATATATGTTCGTTTTAGGTTTTACCGGAGTCTGGAGAGCATCCCAAATAGTGTCAGGGTCTTTCATAACTTCGTTTGTCAATTTGCTTGCCTCTGTCATTTCCTGTCCTGTCCATATAGAATGATATGGTTTGCCTAATGCTTTTTGAAAATCATAAGTGCACCATACGAGTCACCAGATTTCACAGG